ATACGGTCAATGCAATTTGACTGTGCAGTATATAATGTATTATGATGGAATTGACATGCTATATAGTTATTTAATAAAAACAGGAGACAGTGTGTGAAAGTAAACCAAAACTTTAGTGATATGCTTGATGTATTTTGAGGGGAACCCATTCTGTTTAATATTTCTATCAATGACTAAAAGAATGTTCCTTTCATAATTATGCTGTATGTAATTTTTGCTCTTGATGAAGTAAGCATTTATTCAATACAGTGGGTTTCTGCAAATAAAACCCAGACAAATTCCAGTTATCTCTGTTGTCAAAAACACACAATAAGGGACGACCATTTGATATTCTGGGGTGGGATATGGTTGTTGCAAATTTTTTTATATAATTTCAGGTATGTCAACACTTAATATTTAGACCAAGAACCTCAACTTATGGTAAAAGATTTGAGGTATCACAAGTATCGGATTCCCTCCCAAAAAATGAGACCAATGCTATGACCTCTAATTTTCTCCATGACAACATTTATGTACGTTTCGGCAATAAGGTTTATCATAGGTATACATATGGGCACCAAGTGTGCACCTTTAATAACAGACCACTTTCTGTTTTAATACTGTACAGTGGTTTTCTGCAAATAAAACCCAGAAAAATTCCAGGATATCTTTGTTGTGGACAGAAGGATTTTCCCCCGGATAGATGATTTATTTCATCTGTTGCTACTCATGCTATTTTTCCTCTCCACTATCCTGGAGTCGGTTTCACAAAAAAAACTTACTACTAAGATTAATCGTAAGTATACTGAATTGTTCATGACTTACGACCAATCTTAATCGTAAATTTTTTTTGTGAAACCGACTCCTGCATTTTATGTTGCAGAATATTCATTTTCATCCTGTTTTGTGCAAAGTAATTTATTTTCAGTTCTTACCAGGCCAAAACCCTCCTGCCCTACTCCGAAAAATCAAATGGTATTTCTATATATTGTGAAAATGAGATTTTACTAGGAGTTACAATTTGAATCAAAAGTTCGTCGTAAATATCAAATATTTGTAAAACTAGATATGGACAATGCCCCCCCCCCTTTTCTGCTCTGCCATATGCATGAGTATAGTTCCACATATTTTAGATTTGACAAACAGTGATTTTGGCATACAACTTGAAATTGTTACGCTGTCTGTAAGACACAAATGATTCCCCCGCCTGACCATAGGAAATTATAAATGTAACACTATGTATGATGATGTAACTGTAGGAGGAGATAGCCGAACAAACCATGATCTCTTTATGCAGCTAGTACCCGAAAAAAATGACTAAGTCCAACTACCTGTCATTTTCAGAATATTTAAAAGAAATCAAAATCCTGTGGCAATGCACACCTCCATTATGTGTATGAACATCCTACAAAATATTAAATCTGTATCTCCAAAACTGTAGGAGGAGATAGCCGGACAAATCATGATTTCTTTATGCAGCTAGTACCAAAAAAATGACTAAGTCCAACTACCTGTCATTTTCAGAATATTTGAAAAAAAATCAAAATCCTGTGGCCATGCACACCTTCATCATGTGTGTGAACATCCTACAAAATATTAAAGTTGTACCTCCAAAACTGTAGGAGGAGATAGCCGGACAAACATTGTATCCTAATCCGGACAGACGGACGGACGGACGAACGGACGAACGGACGGACAGGGGTAAATCAATATGCTCCCCGACATTTTGTCGCGGGGGCATAAAAAAAAGCTGCAAGGGCAGTTATATATTTTGAAAAGAATTGGGAACACATAACCAGACTGGGTAAATTTACAGTTCATTATTTATTTTACATGTCTAATTTCAGTTTGGCATGTTTGTAGGGAACGAAATACAAGAAAAATAGAAACACACACTCCTGCAAATGTCAAACATAGTTTCTTCACTAAAAACTCGTAGAATGCGAACATGCGCCTTGAAGACCTTTAAAATTAAATAGTCAATAAAAAATGTCCTTTATTAATTCAAGATATGTTTTTTGCAAATTTCTTTTATATAATTTCAGGTAGATGAGCACTAAATATCTAGATTATGAACCTCAATTTATGGTAAACGATCATTTAGGTTTGAGGCATCACAAGAATAGGATTCCCTCCCCAATGAGGCCAGAACTATGACCTCTCATTTTCTACATGACAACATCTATGTACGTTTCGGTAATAACGTTTAAAGACAAGTTCTGGGTATGTTTTCCTCTGACTGTCAATGGTATCTTTACACTAAATCCATTGGATGCTTGATGTGTACTGATTGATGTTTTAGTCTTAGATGCATGATTTTATTTATTAGTTGTTATTGACTTTGATCTGTACTTAGTGTCTTTTTTGTGGGGATGTATAAATACCCTGCCACTTCCGGTCTGTGTTTTTGTTAGATGTTTTTTCTGCTTTGTACCGATCTGCTTAGTTAATCCCTTTTCAACTGACTTTTATAGTTTGTTCTTATGTGATAGTGTTACACCACTGTCCCAGGTTAGAGAGAAGGGTTGGCGCCAACAAACTAGTTAACCCCCCCCCCACACACACACACACACATACATTCTATATGTGCCTGTCCCAAGACAGGAGCCTGCAATTGAGTGGTTGTCGTTAAGTGCTGTTTCTCATATTTTATTTGATTATAGGTTTTTTGTATTTTTTTGTTAGTTTTGTAAAGTTTGTTCTTGTGTTGTGCAGTACACCCACTGTCCAAGGTTAGGAGGAGGTTTGGCGCCTTCAAACATGTTTAACCCCGTCACATTCTGTATGTGCCTGTCCCAAGCCAGGAGCCTGTAATTCAGTGGTTGTCGTTTGTTGCTGTATACCATATTTGTTTTTCGCTCATTGTTTTGTACATAAATCAGTTTGAATTGTTTTACATTTGTAATTTCGGGGCATTTTATAGCTGACTACGCGGTATGGGTTTTGCTCATTGTTGAAGGCCGTACGGTGACCTATAGTTGTAAACTTCTATGTCATTTGGTCCCAAGTGTGCACCTTTAATAGCAGACCTGTTTCTATATTGCTATGAATCACACTTTATGGCCAAATTAGGAAAGATCCGTTTAATTTCCATTTAATAGAAAAAAATATTAATACATTGTATTTACCGTTACCTTGATGATATTTTTTTGCTTTAGAAAATCAGTAACTCTCTTACAGAACTTCACAAATTTACCAAAAGGAACTGACTATAACTAAATCTGAGACAAGCAGCAATAATTGTCCTTTTCTTGGTTTGTATATTTTTTGTTTATCACGGGAAACACTTTTAAAAAATTACGACACAAGGGACGATTTTTCCTTGACTATTGTAAATTTACTTCTTGGGACGGTGTTGTTCCTTTTGTCCATTCTCATGGTGTGCATATTTCCCAGCTCGTTCTATACACCCGGATCTGTTTGATGTGTCGTTTGATGTGGTTGAGCTTTTGATTTTGCCATTTGATAAGGGACTTTCCGTTTGGAATTTTCCTTGGAGTTCGGTATTTTTGTTATTTTACTTTTTGTTTTTGTGACATTTTAGATTTTAATGAACATAACCTATGATTTAGTTACCTTAACACCTTTCATAGATATACAGATTTTGTTTGAAAGTTTGCCTATACATATAGAAATTTGTTACGGGATATTCCATACTAATTTTCACGCTGGTGATGTTTATAGAGCTCGTAAATTGGAAAATTTGAAACTAAAATATACAAAAAAAAGATGATTTCAACTGTGTCATGATACGTTCCTTTTTAAGATGGCGATGTTCCTCTTGCTGCATTCATGACATTTACATTCAGTGGTGGATCCAGAAATTTTCATAAGGGGGGGGGCACTGACTGCCTAAGAGGGGGCCCGCTCCAGTCATGCTTCAGTGATTCCTTATCTAATCAACCTAATTTTTCCCACAAAAGGGGGGCCCGGACCCCCTGAAAACCCCTCTAAATCCGCCTCTGACATTCCACAACTTGTAACAGTTTGCCAAACTATGTTTCAGTGAACCATATCTTAATTAGCGTAATTTTGTATCAACACACAAGTTACTAATACAGTGTTACAGACACCACAGTCTTTCGAATAATGTCAACAGTTTTTGCATTCGTCATCACCATCTTATTCATAAATATGATATTTCTCTTTATAAAATATCGTTAGACAGCATTTCTCCTATCTTCTACTGAATGTCATAAATTAAAATAAATTAACGAAAACTATATTTATATATATTTATATATATATATAATTTCAGTATTAATTTCTTTAATTTATTCAAACTCGTGATTTCCTCCAACACCAAGGACCACATGATTGATATACTAACTAATTCAGTTGAAATATCTGTTTTTATTTCTTCCAATGGTATAACGATTTTCGATACTTCTGCTTTCTTTTATTTCCCTGTTCAAGTTGGGATTCGTCCTGTTGATAGATGGAATGTGTAGTGTTTTTTTTTTTTCAACATATGGTCTTTAGATATGCAAAAAAGGGGCGGTGTACACACGTAAAACTAGTTTCTTCGTTCCACATTTTGTGTCTTTACCAAGTTACGCTATCTGGAACATTTGTTACTCGTCATTTCTGGTGCATTTAACTTACAGAAAGATATTATTTACGTCAGTTAGATAACTTTTTTCCACTGTCTTTTTCCAGTCTCTAAAGGTTTGTTCTTGCCATACATTATCATCACAGAATGTTTAAATCAATATAATATCTTCTATTAACAGAAAACATGCTGTAAATAAACTCCTCATATGGATACCAGGATTAAAATTTTGTTCGCCAGAAACTCGTTTTCTCTTCAAAAGACGCATCAGTGACACTCTGATAAAGATAGTTAAAAAGGCCAAATAAAGTATGTTAATTAAGCAGTAACCAAATGACATTTCTCTTCTTCATCATTTTGCCTTGTTTGGTATATGACCGGTTTCATTGTTTTGGTAATGATGAACCAGAATTATAATCAGATGCCGTGAAACGGAAATATACATTTTTAAAACAATACAATACTAAAACTCATTTCACTGAATTTATTTAAAGCTGTTTAAAATAATAAGAAATAGTATAAGTATTCAAAACATTGTTTAAGAAGCACATTTTAATGCTGGAACACCTCCAACCCACACTCTATCTTTCTGTTGATGGGAAGTTAGAATATCTTCTTCAATGTCGTGCTTATATTGTACCCACTTCCGGTAGCAATCTACCTGATCTCTAATATAGGAATGACATGGATAATTTTGTACCTGAAATATACAAAATGCACCAGCTTTGATAATTCAAATACAAGAGTTAAGATATTCAAGAGACAATCGATAATTTTAAAATCTAATAAAAAAGTATACTCAAATCCCAATCCCATCAAAACACACCCACACTCACAAAAGGATAACAAGAAAATAAAAATAAGACGAAGTAGGCAAAACCCATCAAAGTTAGCCGCTAAAATTCTCATGCCCAATGTATTGCTGTCAAATCAGTTTTTGATCAATTGGAGAAATCAAAATAAGTTGAATAATGACATCTCTCTGTGCATGCGAAAATAAGGTGACCAACTGAGTACATAGACAGAGTTGAATTTGTTTTTTTTTCTGATGACTTGTTAAATTTTATCCCTAATTTGTCAGAAAGTAGTATCTTTATCTGTCGGGTTTTTTTGGTCGAAAAATATTCACTGTCCGTTACACAAATGACACGTGATGTATTTATATAGTGAAGTGTCTCGTACTTTTACAGGTTTGCAAATACTCTTCTAAAATGACACTCGTTTGCCTTGGCGTAACGAAAAATATACATGCAGGTGGTGACTGATTAAGAATGGAAAAAATCGCCAATTGATCAAACGAGGATCGCTTGAAATTTGTTAAACTGGAAACAAGTCGGTATATGTTCACTTTTTAGATCATAATTAGGAGTTCAATTCATTTGTTGTTCCCTATTTTTATTGTATCAACAATAGTTTTCTTTGTAAAATCCGACCGTATTTGTATCTTGTTTCCAATTATTGATATTTCATTTGTCTCGTAATCCTAATTACTGCTTTCGTAGAATTTAACATTCAACGGTATTTTTTCGTTTAATTCTTTTTATTAAATTTTTTTTTTGGTTAGTTTTCCAGAATATTAAATTTCAACTCGCCCTGTTGTGTTACATTGTTGTGGGCCAAATAGTAAAATAAGCAATGAAATAAACATTTCAAAAATTTCGTGCGTCTTAAAAAGTAAAATAACAAAAATTCCGAACTCAAAGGGAAATTCAAAACGGAAAGTCTTTTATAAAATTGCAAAATCAAAATCTCAAACACATCAAACGAACGGAAAACAACTGTCATATTCCTGACTTGGTACAGGCATTTCCTTATGTAGAAAATGGTGGTGGATTAAACCTGGTTTTATAGCTAGCTAAACCTCTCACTTGTATGGCAGTCGCATAAAATTCCATTATATTGACAACAATGTGTGAGCAAAACAAACAGATTTAATAGGTAAAAATGTCAAAAATTGAGGTACAGCAGTCAACATAGTAATATAATTTTAATCACTATAAAAACAAATAACTATTTCAACAAAGAAAAACCAAAATGACATATAGACACTCTCTAGAGTGAATAGAGAATACAAAATTTACCATAGCAAAATAACACAATGGCGGAATGTATAAGTACCGATCCACGCCAAAAGTATATAACCAAAAATGGACTTAAGTGCTGTTGTGGATTTATCTTCATCAGGAATGCTCAAACCTAAACATTTAAGAGCCTTCGTAAATAATGTGCAAAGTTAGGAGCTATATTCCTCAAAAGGACTGAGGTCAATTTTAACAATAGGATTTAGAACTAAATGTACAACTCTTCAGTTTACTTTCATGTTTGTATAATATTAACTATTTCCATTCATATATTTGTCATCTTAGTAATATAAAAAAGAAAGCCTAGATTAGAAAATCACTAACCCAAGCGTTGCTTGAATTAAAAGTTAAATAGGGTAACGACCTTTTCTTAATGAAAATTCAATGTTTTTTTAATTACTAGTTGTTTCAAAACAACAGGAAATGTATCAGTCAATTTGTCATTTGTATTGTTACTAATTGCTTTAAAACACCATTCTATTTTCTATAAGCCTCATTTGACATTTGATTTTATCATCAAGGCAAGGTGTTGTTACAACTATATTTAGATTAAGCAAAACAAAAAAACAACTATACCTTAATTTATTGGGTATTAAAACAGCATTGTGGAAAAAATTGTATGTTTCCAACTTACTAATCACTTATAGATTACACTTTCAGTAGAAACCACAACATTTGTTATATTTAAACAGTTTGTTTTAGTATTAACCTGTTTCATATTGGTTTGTTTGTACTTTTGTAAAGTACAGACGTTATCAGCAAGGGTGAAGCGTTTACAAAAGCTATTTTGATTTTTAATGCACACACAAGTTTTACATACGTGGCTTCTTCATTGTTTGGTATCGAGCATACATTATGAATGTTATTCCAGAAACAATCGTTTTTCACTTTCTAGAGCTGAAGGGTTGAGCAGACAAAGTTAAATCATAAACAACACGCTAAACACGTGAGGCAACAGTTGTTAACTGTTGTTCAAATCATATAAATCAATTAAGAAGATACACAAATCAAGCAAAACAAATACTGAGGGATTCGCATGTACTACACAAGGAGCGAGACCGGGTCTGTCAACAGGGTAAGAGTCTCCTGCTATGTGTGCATCACCTGCAATGCAAATCCACACCCAGTCAAATTTCACAATAGGAATGACGATATCGGTTTATTTACAGATCATACGACTATTGTAGTATTTGAAAATCTAAGACAGCAAAAACATGTCGTTGAAACAGAAACACATCGTATCCGTCAACCAATTTGTGATGGTGACCATGAAATTTATTATAATTTTTTACAACTGAAAAAATGACTACGTTATCAATTCGAAATGATACATTGTATCTATAACACTAAATGAACACAATGACCATTTTCAGGGAAACACGTGGTTCAAACTTAAAAAGATGAAGTTTAGAAATATATTTGTTTTGTAGAATACAAAAAGTAAAAAGGATTTTTCAATTTACAATGACTACAACCTAATTTTTTCATTTCCTTTGTGTTTCCATTGTAGCGCCCAAAAAAGTTGAAGAAAATAAGAGAGTAGACAGACGACTTTGGCTACCCAACTTGGTTTCCAAATCACCAGGTCTCAAATGAACCGTTATCATACCTTTACATTCTGGATAAGTGCCAATGATGATTTTAGTTCCGTTTGGTATTGCCCGTCTTTTAATTGGTACCATTTCTGGCATAATTTTGATAATACATTCTCATTGGTATTTTGTAGTTAATAAATTGTGCTATTACAGTAAGTTCCTTAGGCAAATCGAAGTATTTTTTTCAGACGTTTCAGCATTCAGCACTTTTTGTTGATACTAAATATCATTAACATGGTTTTTCTGTAAATTTTCAGTTTGTAAAGTTTTGAAATGTTCGAAAAAAACCTATGATTCTCTATCCCCAGGCAAAGAAGCCTTATTCGGCACAAATTTCGGAATTTTGGCTTATAATGCTCTTCAACATCGTGTTTGATTTATGCTATTTAACTATTTTGATTCCAACGCCGTTAATGAGACCTATGCAGATAAACCGAGCGATTGGCATAACAAATTATAAACCTGATATCTTTGATGAGGTTCGCTATCATATTAAGCAAAGACAATTATGCATGTTTTGCTTCGAACTGTGCATTCATTTTTATATTCATCCTTTGAAATGTTGTATGCATTTGGCTTGCCGAAGATCTTGGTATCCAGATTTCCGGATGACGCTAGTTTCAGAAATACTAGTTATGCTCACTGGAATCGGTACCATTTTTATTTTTTGAGAATTTTCTTTCTCAATCGTCTAATATGCATTATGCGTTCTTTTCTAATCTATCTAATTTCAAACTTATTTCCAGGAAGCATGATGAAAAAAAGATTCTTAATAGGTTTTGCTCATTGTTGAAGGCCATACGGTAACCTATAGTTGTTAACTTCTATGTTATTTAGTCTCTGGTGGAGAGCTGTCTCATTGGCATTCATACCACATCTTCTTATTTTTATCTTAAGTTATTATTTTATCTAATATACAATACTGAGAAGGTTAAGGGAACTCCCAAGGACAAAAACAAAACATTGATAAAACATAGACAGACAAACAATAAAACATAAAACATTTAACAAAACTGAATTCAGTTCTTATAATAAGAACCCTGTTAATATAAAATCCGAAAATGACTCAGGTTCCTGCATGAGTTATAACTTAATAGATGCAAAGTTTCTAACTATTCGTTTTTGTAAATTTGAACGTTAACCTGACCTGTGATGTTTTTGTTTATGCGTGGTTGCATTAATTGATAAGGATGTTTCCCTTATCTTAACACATTTGAAGTATTCAAGAGAGAATTAAACAGTTAACCTAAACTTTACTTACTAAATCATTAACTATTCTTAACACTTTTATGCTGGCTTCACTTAAGAAAAGTCTTTTGGATATCAAAATACACTCTGCTCCTTCACTTACTAAACTTAATGTTGTTGATGGTTTAGAAACCAATGATTCTAAGCCCTGCAATAATGAATAGCAGCTTTAGTTTTAAGTCTTATAATTAGTACGTAATAATCGTAAAATTAATCTCTGTGATACAAGAAACATAACTCTAAAATATAATGATTATGGAAACTTTTATTCCGTATATGGTAAACTGATAACAAAATCTTTATGTTTAATCTTTACATTCCAGCTTTCACTCTGGAATGTATGGAATGTAAATATCTAATGACAATACCTTAGTTTTCTATTTTGTGTCATCTGTACTATTATTTGTCTTTTTGTTTTTGGCCATGGCGTTGTCAGTTTGTTTTCGATCTATGAGTTTGACTGTCCCTCTGGTATCTTTCGTCCCTCTTTTCGCATAGATGTTCTGTTTTGTAAGATCCCCGTCTTCTTTCACAATTCATACAATATTATAATCTACATTTACATGTATTAAAACAATGTCAATCGATATCCTACATTTTGTTAAGTAAAACAAACTTACAAAAACATCTCCTTTTTTCAACTGTGATATCTGGGCAAGAGTTGTACGGTTATCATCAGTGGATTTCGTTTTAATTTCTTTGGTATTTAGTCTTTGTTCCTGTCAAACAAAATGTACCATTATGTTCATATTCATATTTACAAGGAACAAAACGCAAAGTGTTACATTGAGTTGATAAGTGCATATTAAGATTCATGAAGACCAAAGAAAAAATGTATTATTTAAATACGTTCATAGTCAATTTAATGAGGTAAAAAGAACAATTTTTAAAATTAGATGAAGTGCATATTCAGGTTTGTGAGGAACTTCGATGCATAAGTAGGAGATTGATAGCTAAATTGATTATCTTTCCATATAAAACCTGTTACATTCATTTGGATATTCAAAATTTGTTAACAAACAAAATTTCTAATTACTAGGTCTCATTTCTACTACCGGTAATAAAGTAATAAAATACAAAACATTACCATGATTACGGTTATTCCTATTCAAACGCAATCGCTAAACTGTGCCCATAAAACTAACTTCAATGAAAAATCGGCGTTACAAGCTAACAGCCTAAGAATTTGCTTTTCTTGATTTCAACATATGAAACTTTTGATTTCTTATATTAAGTTTCAAGCACATAAAAATAAAAAAAAGTTTTTGAAACACATCATTTGGTGCATCAACTTAACTTTGGTATCTTGTATTTTGTATATACAAACGCCAACATACATAGAAACGAACTATTTGATAACAACTGCCATATTCCTGACTTGGTACAGGACATTTTAAGAAAAAATGGAGGGTTGAACCTGGTTTAATGGCTAGCCAAACCTCCCGCTTTATGACAATGTTAAAAAATGTCGCTAAAATGACAACACTACGTGACAGAAATACAGCACAAACACACGCAAGAACATTCATCACAGAGAAACGCACAAACAAATAATATAATAGTCGACACAACATGCAAACTGCAGAACAACAACGAACATATTCTATCAACGACAGACACCAAAGGATATCAGAAACAGTGACGCGCTTACGTAACTAAACAAGGTGACGTCGTATATAAAAAGAACATGTGGTATGGTTGCCAATGAGACAATTCTCCACAAGAGACCAAATGACACAAAAATTAACTCTATAGGTCACCGTACGGCCTTCAACAATGAGCAAAGTCCATACCGCATAGTCAGCTATATGTATACTTCCGTCGTCAAATGTAAACAATGGGCGTTTTCAGGCTTATCGTACGCCTCAGAATGTAATAAAATTAGATAAAAGGAACATTTGTAGGTAACAAATGCGAGTTTTTTAAAATTTATTATTAACGAAATAACATGTCAATATATTCCAGAATTCAAAATGTCGGCTTTTCTTAACTACAGACAGGTAGATAGAGGATTTTACTCTTGTTGTCATCCAATCAGAACCATTGATACAAAATGATTGCATTATAGTATTATCTATAATGATTATACAACCTTTTTTGTACCAGCTAGTTGTTGTCTCCCTTGTGTTGTTTTTGGTCGTGGCTTCTCTGTTGAAAGAAATAAAAACCATCTAAAATGAGTTATAATTCACAGCGTCTATAAATATTTACACATTATACACAAAAAGTATCTTAATATATTAAACACATATTTGTATTCTTTTTAAGTGAAAAATAATTTCCCAATTTTCTCAGATTTAACTGATCTTATCAAATCAAAAATCTAAATTTAAAACATAGCAAATAGATTATGTTTCCATAGGTAAAAATGCAAGTAAGATAAAATTAAAATTGAAGGCGACATAAGCTGTCTGGGCAAAAAAAAGTATTTACAAAAATAACGAACTCCAAGGTAAATTATAAAAAGAGGGAAGTCCATAAATCAACAAGTGTTTAGCCAAGGTGATATTCACTGTTTAATACAACCCGAGAACTGTCTGGAACTTACTATTGAAGTAACATATTATGACAACTTTATTTTATAGTTTAATGGCTTCAAAATTCTTTTTTATCTAAAGTTTGAGATGTACCTTCAATCTTTGTTAATTCTGACTCTTGTTCAAGTAGAAGATGTTCCTTAATGGTTTCTCTTAGTAATTGACTTGTTATCTGTCAGAAAAAAATTAAATACAAAGACTGAAAGAAATTATCTATGTATGTACGCAAAGACAATTTCATTGAAAAACATATCCGTAGTCTACACATTTCTCGCAAGCAAATCAGAGACACATAATCTGTATTGTTATCAGATTGAACAAAAAAGAAGAAATGAAACACCAAAGAAAAAAGAAAAGAGCCCTTTTCATCAGTATCAGAATAAAATCTTGCCCTAAACTATTCACAAGGTATTATGAGGCAATGTAAGAAATGTTAGAGCTTGGAAATGTGTTCATACATTTCTCTCGTGTTTAAGTTAATGTAACAGTAGTATTCCGATGTTCAAGTATAGTAAACCAAGAAGAGAAAAATCAAGGTAGCAAACAAAAACTGAATAAATCGATGAAATTACAAAGACAGCGAGACCAGGTTTCATGCTATGCATGTATCAACCGTTATGTTAATCCACACCCGGTCAAAATGTCACAATCGGGAATAGGACACATTTGTAAAATAACAGATCAGACGACTATAATGTCATCAAAAAATATAAGAACGCGAAAACATGTTGCTACTGATTTGAGACATAGACACATTTCATCGGATGCTAATGATTTGGGACACAGACACATCGCATCGGTCAACGAATTCGTGGTGGTGATCGTAAAACTAGTGAAGTTGGACAGTTTAGTTTTTGTTTTAGGAGCACACCTCTGCTTATAAAGTCTATTAGTGTGAGCATGCACGACCATGGCGTATTAATTGAAATATGTAAACGCCATATGATGAGACAGAGGGTATGTTACTGCAGAGAAATGGGATGTTGACAATTGAGCTTGAAATCATCACGTTTGTCAAAGATTCGAGTCATCCATCTGTGTCAATATCGAGAAAAAGATCAAGATAAGAAGCAGACCTTCTAGTTTCGATAGTATCTTTAATCTCTGGTTCCCTGATATCTGTAGTGTAAGCACTGATTGAAATGTGGTCATTGAGTGACATGATATCATCAATATAACTGAAAGTGAAATTAAAGAACTTTGCCAGATTCTTTTTCTTTATGTCATTGAGAAGGTTCCGTATGGATTCGGCTTCAAATGAGTGCAAAAACAAGTCGACCAGTAGGGGTGCACAATTAGTGCCAATTGGCATACCGACTGTCTGTTGAAATATCAATCCACCAAACTCAACACATATGTTGTTGACTAAAAAATTCAGAATTTGGATGATATTTAAAACAAGATATTAACCTCCAGATACATGTCTTGTGTGGTTGAGTTGATACTTCCGTGAAATTATCCCAAATCTACTTTTATTGATTAATAAGTACAATATATTGTGCTAGTCATTGTCAGTATTTCGATTATCAGTTACTTTTTTTATTATTAATATTTTCTATCCATGGTATTCACTCTTTCTACCTCCAATTTATGGCTTTTGGTTACATCATAACATCTTCAAACTTTCCTGCAAGTCTCTGGCAAAAAATATACAGTTATTGTTATATCCCGTTTTTTGTTTGCAATAAATAAAACTGTAGAAAAAAAGTTCTTTTGGAATGATTTCAGAGTTTATGTTGTAGGAAAAGCTAGAAGAGAATAAATAAGGAATAACGTAATTAAATCTCTACATTTTTTACCATGCTGTTCTTTCGTTCAATCTGTGGTTTATTGAATAGATTGCTTATAGATCCTCGTTTGGCTAAAGATACGGTACTTGGTCTTCTTGCCTGAAAACAAAAATCCCAAACATATTGACATGATATTGTAAATTCCGTTGAACATAGCATCGTTTAATAAGGAAACTCTAGGAAAGTTAAACCTAGCACAGAGACACCCCCTTCATCTAAAAAGAATCAAAACAGAAATAGAGTTTCAATTTTCATTCTGTATTTCGATCTTTGAAAAGTTTCCTTTTCCGTCATTTCTGCTATTAGATATATCCAAAGAATTCATAGGGTTTAAGTATTGCAATCTGGATAGGAATGGCTATTTTTATGTCTGAAATTTTCTCAATCGAAACCCCACCAGAAAATAGTGAGAACAGCCGATCAATTTTCAGAAACGCGTTATATATATATGTATGTAAATGTTTTTACATATGGAAGTTAAAAAAAATCCGCTTTAATGAAAAAGAATATGAATGAATAAAATAAAATAATGATTTAGACAAAACGACTTTTAATGATAGTTGTGATGTTCGGTGTCAGTGATATTAAGGATGATGGTGGTTGTGGTGGTTGTTGTGCTGTAATAATAGTAGTACTTGTAGCATGTGATTTGCAGAACAGATATTTACCAGTTTCATATTTGATTTCTCTGCTTTTGCTGCAAGTACAGTATTGTCAACTGTACCGGTTATAAGCCCAATCTGTATGTGTGCAATTGATTCTGTTGATCCTGATTCTTTTCAAATAAAAATAATCAATCAATTGGAGTTTTGTTTGCGTCAAATAATGTATTTAAAAAGAGACAAGTTCAAATCAATTCCTAAAGTACAAATGTATATTCACTTTCCTTCTTTTTTTCGCAATATAAAATAAAGTATAGCTCCTCATCCAATTAAACTACACAAGGAAAAGCATTTAGTTTATCAATATGACAGCACACCAAAACAAAAGCTACAAGAAGGGCGACACTTTTGAACACTGTATCATAGAATGTGCAGTTATCAAAAGCAAAGTAAATGTGTTTTATATCATTCCTTCGGTATAATAAATATCGGTTTATTTACGGTATAATAGATTTGATATCCACAATTCGCGTAAGCTAAAAAAAACACGATTTACTGTAACATTTACATGTCCATATTATATTAGTGCTTTTCAAAAAAATGTAACAATATTACTTTATAATAATAAATGCTGTTCTTTATACCAATACTCTTTTCCTGGACCGGAACCTAGTTGTAACACTTTTTTAATATGCGAATTTGCTCATCATTTTCATTCTCACATCAGACATGTTAAATGATTTAAAAATTCATGTTCATTCTGTTGAAACTCTGTTTATACTGTACATTGGGAACGCATCACTTTGTAATAAATGTTAGCATGTAAGCTATTGATAATTTAGAAAAAAAAGAAAAAAATACGTACTAGGAACAGGTGCTCTGGATTTTACCCTCAACATAGTAGTATATAACGGAAATGCTTCTTCTAAATCAGGATCAAATACAACACGTCTTTTATCTGATGGCAGTTCAGTGAAATCACTTACAAGCTTACATTTACCCTGAAATATTCAAAACGAGTATTGTTAGTTATGATTCTCACTGACATTCATATTAAAAAATACGCAATTACTTTAAGTGATCTCTCAATAAGAATATCTTAGTTAATCAAGTGTCATTAATCCATTAATTCACCTATTCGGTTTTGGTTTAAACTTATGTTTTTCTTAGAAATAAGAGGCAACAGTAGTTTATCGATGTTCAATACTCGCAAGTCCATTTGTATACGCAATCCAATAGGAACAAGAATATGTGTTCATAGTCCCGCTGGCACTTTCATATTAACATGTTCTGTGAACTGTGAAACTGGGATCAAAAACATAATTCAGCATATGATAAAAAGTAAAAAAAAAACGAACTCAAAGGAAAATTTTAAAAGGGGGAAGTCCATAAAAACTGAAAAAATAAAACGTTAGACTTTATCAACCTATTGAACGAATGGAAAACAACTGTCACTTTCCTGATTTTAAAAGATATTATTCTCATAATTTGGGCATAAACACCTGAGCAAATCAGATGAACTCCAAACAAAGATCTACAGGTGCGTCTATAGGGTTTAGTTTTAGTTTAAACATATTTTATTTGCTCAAAGCAAAAAGGATCAGACACAAGTAAAACATACTTATTAAGTCTTCTCCACAATAAAAAATATATATTAATACAAATTGAATGTGAGCATGCATTATATAATATAAACAACATAAATATTACTAAACTATACTAAAAAAAAGGAAAGGGGATGAAGAAAGAACGACAGAGTTTAGGATAATGATAATAATGATGATGATGATGATGTTTTACCTATGTTGATACTATACTACGAGGAATCGTTTTGATCTCTTTATAAAATTGAATACTTGTTTAACAATTTGCACATTTTGGTCATAGGAAAGAGTTTCTTTTCCAAAAACCAATAGTTTTAAGTCCAAATTGCAGCCTTCGGGTAGGGTAAGTGTCTCCTGCTATGCATATACATGTATCAATCACTATAGGATTCCAGATTCAGAACAAATATAACAATTTAAACCATTCCGTAAATAAGATAAATGAGATCATTTTTAAAAATTATTCGAAATAATTTTTCCTTGTTATCAAATTTTACTTAATTGCATTCAAGGAGAAACCACAAAAACGGGTAAAACTGCTTCTTTAAAATTAGTTTCGAACGAAAGTTTTCCACAAGATCTCCTTTTAATAAGAAGTGATTCGACATCTGTTTTGGGTTCCCTTCTGGATCCAACGCAAGAAAAATCGCATAATTCATCTTAATGACTTTCTTCTTTCGTTGTTTAAGGCGTGTGTCAATAAAGTTCTGTCACAACTTGTTTAGATAATAAGATAAATACTCGTATAAAAAAAGGATGCTTGTATAACAGATATATTTTTATTTTCCTTTTGACTTTGTATTTCAATCATTTATAAAGACTTTAGATGATTTTCTTACCGATTTAACAATGACAATATATTTGCTTAATACACTGTTTCTTATTATTATATCGTCTTCTCTGCAATATAAAAAAAATACACTTAATCAGTGACCTTTGGCGATTTAAGCTGGTGGTGGTAGCTATAGTCGTGACCTATAATTTATATTTTTGTACGTTTTGAAAAATGTCTGTTCATATAAATCTTTTAAAGGAGCTAGTAATTTAAACTCCCTGAAATATTTTATTAGAAATCTGTGGCTATTATCATATCCTGGTGATTCTTTTGGTCAACCATTATTTTTGAATTTGTTACTTTTACTTTCATTAGTTTAGCACAAAAAGACGAAAATGCGTCGAAAGTAACAAATTTGGTATGGTGACTTCGAAAAGCAACATATACGTGGCGATCGAATTCTTTTTTTAAGGTCTTTTTGTTGCGTTAGTCAATGAAAGGTCATTGGTATAAAAAAAATCATTTTCTGTTTATGGACAGAGCATTCTTCCTTCAAATTGGAAAATTATCCAATGACAATCCGCAAACAATGTTATCATCAAATACACTTTTATCCACAAATTATATTAGTTTGTAAAATTCAGTTTCATTCAACCGTCAAATTTTGTTTTATATGTTTTGCTGGTGTTTTTTTAGTTGCCATATTGTTTGTCTGGAATAATGAAAAAAGTAATCCGATCATGAGATGTTTGCTGATGTTAGATTTTGTTTTCCGTCTTACACTTTGGTGTCTGATGTTCATATTTTCCTCTCTCCTTTAAACATGGTTCTCTCTGCCTTTCTTGTTATTATTCTAATTACCCCCTCGGCGTCGTATAACTTAAACGATGAACTTACTTAAAATACTGAAAGAAAAACTCTTTGGGAGATTGCCGAAAAATATCACATGGAAAGTCTTTCAAAAATGGTAATGATCTGTAAGAGATTGAAACAATTTGCATATTATCTGTTTTATATAAAAGACGAACGGTCTGAGGTTCGAGTTCATTTGTTGTTCTTTATTGATTGTCTCTGTGACCGAGATTTGGATGAGTGGTTGAGGGCTTTTAATTATAGATGAAGTTTGGCTTTCAAATATTTGATTTCGAGCGTTCCTGATGAACGTAAATCCAAAATAGCGCTTCGGACGCATGACATTTATAAAGTGTTGTTTCCATTTTTTTGCTGTGGTGACCCGGCAATATTTTTGGTAATTCTTTATGTCTATAATTCTTTTTTTCGTGTTCTTATATGTACTAAACATATATGCATTTAATCTTTAATCGTCCTTAATGAGCATGAAGTATTTGTCATTGGTCTTTAAGCGAACAACTCAAATTTTTATGACCAATCTCCCATTTAAAGTGTCAATCATCATTTATTTTCACACTCGATTAAGAATTTAATAATATGAACTTTTTTACTAAATATTTATCAAAACACGTTTAGAATTGCGAAGAGTGAAAGCACTTACACGGAAAATGTTCACAGTAATAGTATCTAATTAAAATACTGATCACGTGTCCATGAATCATCCTTGTAAGTAAAGCGCGGACACAGGATCTGTATTTTCAATCAATTTGGTTTTTAAAAAAATCCAGTCGCATACGGGTGAGAATGCTAAAAATGTAAAATTTTATTGATTCGTTAATTTCCAAGGAGCACATCTCTCTTAATTTGCTTTCGGTTGTTACTCGTTTTCAATCTAGATATGACAGATATGATTTATATAAAGTTAATATGTTTTTCTCCTTAGAATCCATCTAAAGCTGTAAGGGTGTGATGAGAACGTTTTGAAGGCGGACGTACAAAAAGACAGATTATTTCGTTTCAATTTCAATTAGAGCAAAGTTATATATAAGAAAATGCCTGTACCAAGTCCGGAATATGACAGTTGTTTTCCATTCGTTTGATGTGTTTTAGCTTTTTGCTTTGCCATTTGATGAGGGACTTCCCGTTTTGAATTTTCCTAAGAGTTCGGTATTTTGTTAATTTACTTGTTTTATAATAATTAACACAATATATTTTTGAAAGAAATTCTATTTAAATGTCTATTAATGTGTATTTTTGGTTTATGTTGTTTTTGGTTTGTTTTGTGTTCTGGTGTCTTATTGACATCGAAACTACATTGTACTTTTATTCACACAGAGAGAACAAGTGTAAACATAAAATTAAAGCATAGAAAAGTACAGACTTTATAATTACTTGCAAAATTCTATATGATTTTCTTTTTCCCTAAGTAATGGTGCCTTGATTACATCATCAAAATCCTGTAAATTATTGAAAAAATATAATAGAATGGAGTAGCCAATTACAGAGTAAAGAAAAACATGTAATATCAGGCTTACAGGACTAATTCACCTTTGATTGTTTTACTCGCAAAATTAGTTCTAGACTGCAAACCCAAAAGCAATCAAAATAATGGTCTTACAAGATGACAAGATAATGTATGGTAAATTAACTCGCAAAAGTAGCAAATTTTACAATTATTTCCAAAAACAATTCTCTGGTTACTCTGGTCCAGAAAAGCGCTTCGGACGCAAGAAATTATTAAACGTGTTGTTTTCAATTTTTACATCACTGGGTCGATACCTCTGCTGGTGGACTATCAGACTCGAGGGTATCATCAGCTCAGTAGTCAGTACTTCGGTACTGACATGATTTAACAAACTTTACTAAAATTGTCCGTTTATAAATTATGAAATTATTAAGAAACTAAGGTTTCAAATCCCTCAGGCAAAGTTGGCTTTAGATGAATTTGGCTATTTATTTTAGGTATTTTTTTACATATAGCTCTTCAAAACGGTTTCGGTACTTATACATCTTCGGATTTCAAATGTTTGGCTTTGAGCGTTCCTGATGAAGGTAAATCCAGAAAAGCGCTTCGGACGCAAGAAATTATTAAACGTGTTGTTTTCAATTTTGACTTAAGTGCAGAAATGTCGTTTTCTTTATTTCTGTAATTGAAACATTAAATTCAGTTCAGAAGTATATTTTGTCCTCCGAACTTCGTTCCCTAGGTAAATACATTAAACGGTACCTTTTGTACTGCACCAGACGCACGTGCATTTCGATCATTTATGTCTCCTCGGTGATGCTCGTGGCAAAAATATTTGAAAACAAAAAGCCTTCTAGAAACGTTGTAGAGCTGATATGATCGAAAATGATAAAAAATTCTGCCAACCCTGGACAAGGAATCAGAGCTATGAGTGAATGATATATATTTCTTAAGTTCAAATATTCTATAATTCATAACATAATTTCTAAAAAGAAATATCCGTATTTATTTTTATTTTAGTACCAATCTACCGGCTGAGTGATACATCGGGAACTTGTACAATTTAATAAATTTATTATTTCAGCTTTAAAAAAACCTAAACAATACAAAAATTTCAGGTAAATAATTATTTTAGAATCTGACTCAAAATAATAGTAAAAGTGGTAACCACATACTTATTATAACAGCAATTTGTATTCGCCCAGACAAATTTTTCCAGAACAACTTTACCGCTAACATAATGTCATGAATATGTAGCAGTTAATACATGTAGCAATCCTTTTCTTAAATATATTAGACCCAAATATATTACTTGACATAGATGATGACATCTGGGAAAAGTTCTTTTGGTAATATCCTTTTGGCGTGGCTCGGTCTTCAACTTCGTACTTTATTTTGCCTTTTTAACTTTTTCTGATTCGAGCGTCACTGATGAGTTTTTTGTAGACGAAACGAGCGTATGGCGCAAATACAAAATTTCAATCCTGTTATCTATGATGAGTTTATTCGGTACTTATGCATCCCGCCAATGTGTTGTTGTGTTGTGGTCGGTTTTTGTGTTCTTGTCTTTAGTATTTGCTTATGTGCTTTGTCTATATGCCATTTTGTTTTTCTTTTTTGACATATTTGTTTCTTTTATATTGATCAAGATTATAACACAATGTTGACTGCAGTACCCCTATTTTTGACATTTTTACCTATCATGTCTGTTTGTTTTGTTCACACATTGTTGTCAATATAATGGAATTTTATGCGACTGACATACAAGTGAGAGGTTTAGCTAGCTATAAAACCAGGTTTAATCCACCATTTTCCACATAAGGAAATGCCTGTACCAAGTCAGGAATATGACAGTTGTTTTGCATTCGTTTGATGTGTTTGAGCTTTTGATTTTGCCATTTGATAAGAGACTTTCCGATTTGCATTTTCCTTGGAGTTCGGTATTTTTGTTATTTTACATTTTTGTGGACGGGTTCATCTCTTTTTTACCAAGTTGAAAGTTACATATCACATTCTAACACGGAAGAAAACAACATGAGAATTCGTACCGTAAAACACATGTGTTACAATGGCATGTACTACAAGTAAATAATAGTTATATACATACGTGTTTTTGTACCACCAGAAACTCACATGTTGTCTTGCACACAACAGATGCAGTTCTTGGACCACCTTCAATTAAAGCTATCTCCTAAAAATATTATCATCGAGGTAAAGAATTTCATGGAAATAAATATGGGTACAAATTAAGATTAAATTCCTTAATTAATGTTAAAAATAGCGTATTTCCTTAACCTAAGTATGAACATCATGACTGCTATCACATGACAACATCATTTTTTCATATGCTACTTTTCTGGGCTGCTTAATATTGTGCTTTCTTCTATGTACCATTTGTTATGGTATTCTGTTTAAACGTTGAATGTTAAAACATGTTTATTTGCCTGTCACAAGTCAGAAAAAGCTGTGTCTTTAGTTATATCGTAATGTTGATAGTCTTTGGATTTATCTACAACTTTACCAGACTCGAAAACTATTTAAAACTTGGAATATTGTATAGCCACTTGTCTAAAGTTGAAAACGTATGTTGACCTCTAGATATAGTCTTCTTTGCGTTTAGTTCCAACATCTTTTTTTATTTATTCACACAATTTAAGTGAAAAGATAAGGATGTGTAAATGATAATGGGGAAGTTATTTCTTTTCAATTATAAAAGGTAAATATATATCCTGAAAATGTTTAACTTTAAATTAACTTAAAAAAATAATAAAAGTGTATATCTTAAAGACAAATTGTTTGACATACATATATCATACAAACCCCAAATGTATCGCCTGCAACTAACTGGCCGACTGTTTTAACAAATGCATGTCCTGTTTTAGGATTAACATCACGTGCGTTTACAATAGCAACGCCAGAAAGCATGATGTAGAATGCTAATGGTGGGTGTCCTTGTTTCAAAATTACCCTTCTGGCTTCATAACTGATAAAAATGAAGAAAAATATTATTTCATTTAAGAATTGAATGCTTCTTTATGTAAATTCATTGGGGTGTAAAAGCGTTGACCGAAGTACATGGAAGCGCTTCATTAAATATGTACGCACGGTCAACGCTTTTACAACCCTATGAAATTACTAAAAGAAGCATTCAATACTTATAATTACATTTTTTCGCTATGATCATGAAAACACGATTACTATCATTTTTTTCTTTTATTTACCTGTGCACTTTATTGTGGAAACGTGTGTCATCATGTATGTTACAATTCATGAAATTCATTTTGAAATGAAGAATGACGCACGCGAGATTGCTGTTAGCCAATCAAAATAACGTATTATAATGAAACATACATCTAATGTAATTATTGAAAAATAAAATCTCATGTGTTGAAATAGACGTATTCATGTCACGTGGATGTATATTCTTCTGAAACATTTGATTACATTCAATGCTTTGGTTTTGTTTTGTCCATTTTTTGCTAACTCAATCTTATTTTTTGTGCCTCATCTTATATTGCTTTGTTATGGTTGCTTTTGTCTTGTATTTGAGAGCCTAAAGTCTTGTGTTTCCCTTTTTAGGAAGCCCTGGATTTTTGTGGTGCCCTTTTTTTTTGGGATTCCTTAATCTTTTTAAAGTACCCTTTTTGTGCCTTATGCTTGTAATTTCCTTTCCGGGATACCACAGTCTTGTATTGCACTGATGTGCACTAATAGTATTGTCGAATCTAATCCCAATCCACAAAAAGACATTTGCAAAATTATATTCAAATACAAATTGTGACAGTATAACAAGAATAATTCAATCTTGTTATTGCTCAAAATATTACTACGAAATATTTCACTGATTAAGTATGGTGCTGTTCTCATTGTACGCCTTCTAGAGAAAAACTTTCATTTCTTACTTTCAACGAGTTGTTATATATTTTGAATCTAAATACCTCTGGTATTGCATACATCTAGCTAACTTGATTTGGATATGAACAGGATAATCTTGGAACGATAGGTTGTCTCTCATTAAACCCATAATCTAATTTAAGAACGAAAATGTTTCTAAGGTTATTGTTAAGGACGTGTCATTATAGTATAAATAAATATCGATTTATGTGCGCAAGAAAAAAAAACCGACGTCTACAACGCTCGAAACAAATAATTTAGACGCGAACTATTTTACGAAAACCAAAAATGGTCTAATTAGATAAACCAACATTGACAAGATATATTTCCAATCATAGTTAAAGAATGGTTACATAATTTACAAGCTCAAGATTTATTCAAGTCATTTTGCATAAATTAATTCATGTGAATTACGAAGAACCGTCTACTGGTCATGGGGGATGGCACCAAGTGTGATACTGACGTCAGTGTAAAATGACACGTTGATTTAACAGTAAGCTGCAGTTAATTTCGAGACCAAGAGTTTCGAAATTATCATCATCATAAAAAAATAATAAATAAAATAAAACAAAAAAACAATTATACAATTAAAACTGTTAAAAACTACTAATAAGTAAAATAAGTACAACTAACCGTTTGGACATCTTGTCTTGTTCTATGTTGTTTGCTTACTGACAGTAATGTCTTCAATTTTTCTTTTAGCTACAAAAACAAACCCGAAAGTTGCATAAAAACTATTTTAACAAACAACACTTATTTTTAGAAACAAGTTTGTATTTTTAACTGTGGCGTAGGAAAATCTTTTGATTAAGACTAAACGTGATCTCGTTTACTGTTATGTTTGTTTCTGTTTCCGTCTGTTTTCTGTAGAAACAATTTGCATTTTATGAATAAGGTTTAAAAATAGATTAAGTATTAAATAAGGAGATGTGGTATGATTGCCAATAAGCCAACTATCCACCAAAGTTCTTATGAAGTGGATGTAAGCAATTATAGGCAACCATACGGCCTTCAACAATGAGAAAACCCCATACCGTATAGTCGGCTATAATAGGCACCGACATGAAAAATATGAAACAATTCAATTGAGAAAAACTAACGGCCTAATTTATAACAAAACAATTTACAAAAAACAAATATGACAGACATGAACCAACGACATCCACTGAATTACAGGCTCCTGACTTGGGAAATGCACAAAAGAACGTGGCGAGGTTAAACATGTTTGTGAGCGCTGAACCCTCCCCTAACCTGGGACAGCGGTGTTACAGCACAACATAAGAACCAACTATAAAAATCAGCTGAAAAAGGCTTAACTCATCAGATCGATACATAGAAGTAAACATTAAACAAAAACACAGACCGGAAGTGGCAGGGTATTTATCCATCCCTCATCCCTAATTACTAAAAAGACACTAAGTACAGATCTGAGAATACTCGCAGTTACTGACAGCTTGTACACAGCCAATAGCAACTAATAAAAAACATCATCAAATATCAATCAGTACACATCCAACATCCAATTGATTTAGTATAAAGACGTCATTAACAGTTAGAGAAAAAAATGACGTGTGCAATGCCAAAATAAAGGTATCGACAGATTGTAGTACCGTTAAAGTGCATATGTGTATAACAATACTATTTAGTAATTTACTGATAACAAAATCAATATCTATACCAATAAAAACAATATTCAAAGATCTAATTACAGTGTAGAATAAGTTTATTTAAAGGATTGATAAGTTTATCCGGATCGTATATAAATTTCCGGGCTCGGTAAACAACATCCCCGTAAAATTTAAGATGTGCTATTCCGTCTGAAAATTAGGTCAATTTGTTTTTATCGCTCATTTCAACTTTTTGCATTTGTTTCTCTGACAATACTTCCTATAGAGTTCTCCAGTGATTGTCTCTTTTATTCGGTATAGTTTTTAGTATCCTAAATAGTTTTTTTGGCAACAAATGAATAATAAATCCCTGATTACTTCCACATTTTTTCAAAGATATATGCACGATGTCAATTATAAAGATGATCACAAAATACTTTCAAGCTTCTGGCAAGACAAGGAACAGCAATTGAAGTTGTTCTTTTCATTTATTACTTATGTCCTAGAATTTCTTGAAATTGGTTTCTCATGTGCGTATTTATGTCCATTTATAACATTTCATACGACTATGTTTTTAGGATTTTTTTCCGCATCTTGTTTTTAAAAAAATAAAACCTACCGGTTCCACCTTACCATAACTGTTTTTGTTGAAGGTCAGCAAGTGATTGAATGTGTCCTGAACATGCAGGTACATTTCCATAAAAGACCAATTACTGGTGTCTGGTTTCTTCACATAGCTGAAAAGGTAAAGTAGATACTAGAATTTTTAATAAAACAATACTTTCTCGTCTTTCTAGATATCGTCTACGTCGATAAAATCAGTGATCTAGAGTATACGCAATATTTAACGTTAACCAAATCCAGAGCATCGTCAGCAATTGTTTTTACCATCGTTCCTTACTAACGAACCAAAAAAATTCAGGTAACTTAATGTTCGTACCAAAATATGAGCAACTCCACCAGGAAAAGGATGAATGTTTCGCAAATTCAAATAAAATAGTACAATGAAAACATGAACATAGGATATTGCTTGATTGAATTTGCGGTTATAAAGTTTTTGAAATCATTTTAAATTAAGAAAATATCTTCCTCATTTAAAGCTCTGATTCCTTGTCCGGAATTGACTATACTTTCGGTCCATTTTGGTTTTATCAACTCTGCATGTTTGTAATTAGTTTTAGCCTCGATCATCACCGAAGAGACATTAATTGTCGAAGTGGGCATCTGGTGTAGATACATTGGGACCGTTAGTTCTATTACAGTGCATAATTATATAATAGCTAATAGGATTTTTTGTTATTGATACTATTTTCATAAATGGAAACGCTAACACATTTTTAACGTAGTGTACCATTTCTAACAAATTGTTTAGATTTATTCCCAATAAAAATGTTCTGTGTTGAAATTTAAAATTCTAAGGTAAAAAATAAACATTACCTTTTGAGAGTGATAAGAATTCCACAAAGAAGTTTGATAGTTCTAGCAACTTTTCTAAATTTCTGCAGTGCCTGCATGAAATTGAAAAAAATTAATATTTGAATTATAATCTGTTCACACATATTCGGGTAATTCCGGTTATCAAAATGCTTTAATACAAATTCTGCTAGAATGTAAAATGTAACAACATAATTTTAAAATATAAAAAGTAACAACATAATTTTGAAATACATCATTGAATTATATTTGATTCTAGAGAATTTGGTTTTTAATATTACCCTTTCTTGGAGTACACATCTTTTTGAGTAGTCAGTATTTGTCTCAAATTAAGTACCGTGATTCATGCTATCAAAGTAAAAAAAATCGGCCCATATGTACGGTCAACAATAAACACGAACTTATGAAAGCTCTTACAATTGCAAAATATCACAATAAAACAAGGTTTCAACTAAAGGTAAAGGAACAGTAAATGGGCTATGTCACACATCTTGCTATTTTTTTGTTCGATGAACTATAACTGAAAATCGAAAAATTATTGCATTTATCTCTCAAAATAGATGACAATTTGTATAAAAAGCGCATAAAATCGGCGAAAAACCTTAAATTTGTCTTAAAATCATCAAATCTCTAATTTCTAATTTAAGGAAGGTTTTTCGCCGATTTCATGTGTTTTATGTGAATTCAATCAGTAATATATCAGATAATAAAAGAGACAAATGCATTAATTTTCGATTTTCAGTTAAAGATTAACGAGCCGAACATGAATATAAAAATGTTACCACATATAATTATCAAATAAGATAAGCACACATATAAGCATCAGATAAAATACAGTGTCCTTATTTCCTTATATGAATCAGTAGCAATCCCATATTTTTCGATATGTAATTGAAATAACAAAAATGATATAATTAATATATATCAGTTGAGATATTAGAATAACACTTACTTCTGCTGGGTTTCTGTGTCCTTCGTAAACAACTTCCGGTTTAGAATTCCATTGCCTTAATAATGCACTGTGATCTTTCCGCCTTCGAAGAAATCTGGCGGCTCTTTTACCATCTACAACTCCTTGTATACCATACCCATTACTTATATCAATTGAACTCCTTCTAGAACTTGAAGGAGTTGTCCTTCTTGATATGCTTCTGCTTGTTATTTGGAATATGAGGTCATTTATTTTTTCTTCCTCTTGAAATTCTTTTTGAATCAATATAGCTTGACTCTCAGTCCCAGATCTGACCAATGAAGTTCCAACTCGGACTTTGAAATCTAGACTGTCATACTGCTTCCTTTTATTATGATCTCCAGGATCGTTTAAATGGGGAATTTGTAAATCACCCATTTTGTTCTTTTTACAAAATTAACTGTTTCATGGCTTCTTATTTCAAATATAACCACGCTCAATAAAACTAAATGTTCACTGAAATAATTTGTAATATATATCCACAGTAAGTAAAAAGATGATTATTTGTTTAACTGAAAAAAGTATTTAATATATCTTTTAAAATATATATATATCCAATAAACTAGAAAAATTACATCAGTTACGTAGATACAAAAACGGTTAAATGTCTAAAACAATTAATAACTACAACATCTAAGGGATCAACGTACACAATTTAGGAAGAACTTTCAACTTTAAATGTATAATTCAGTCGTTGCTCAGAGACATTTGATAGAATTGTTTCCGTTATCAATATAAGTAAATACACAATCAAAACCTAAAATCAATTAACTTCACAATAAAGAAAACAATTTTTCAAAAGAAATTTGTTTATATAAAACCGTATCCGAATCAAAAATGTTCGGTAGGCACGAAACTATCCTATTAACAAGTTTTAATGATTGAAAGCAATTATTTTTAAAAGGGTCAACACCTATCAAAATTGGCTTTCAGGTAACAATGTAGATTTGTGTGTATAAATATCACATTTTATATATCGTAACAATAAAGAACAATACATTCCATTTCGATCATTTTATATATAGTTTTGTTCCCTAACATAAAGTTGTCAATTTTGAAATGATAATTACCTATAGATACTTCGATTGGTTAACAATTGTAAGATTTAATTAGTTATAGGGGGAGGTAGAAACATGACAATGCGAAATGGTCTTAACTTAAATATGACACAAAATAATAAATAAAATTGAGAATGGAAATGGGGAATGTGTCAAAGAGACAACAACCTGTCCAAAGAGCAGAAAACAGCCGAAGGCCACCAATGGGTCTTCAACACAGCGAGAAAATCCAGCACCCGGAGTCAGGCTTCAGCTGGCCCCTAAACAAAAATGTGTACTGGTTCAATATATACATTGAAAAATCGGACACGATTTTTGGTGAGATTCGTGTTGCTCAGTCTTTAGTTTAGTTCTATGTTGTGTTTTGTATACTGTTGTTTGTCTTTTGGTATTTTTCTGATTTTTTTTTCGCTATGGCGTTGTCAGTTTATCTTCGAGTTTGAATGTCCTTGTGGTATCTTTCACTTCTCTTTCATTTCGGTTCACTCGGAGTTGTTCACTGCCAATTGATGAAAAATCTATACTATTAAATGAGAAGACCTCATTTGGGTGTCGCTTCTCTTCCTTCCACAATGAATTAATCACCAGGCCTCTGTGTTCTATTGGTAACACACATAGTCGCATTTGTCACCCTCGCTTATGATTATTTCGTTTGGGTTATTTTGGGAGGAAAACGAAAATAAAGGCGTCCGGGTATTGTTTCCGTCATCGGACGGACTTTTAAGTCATAGACAAGACTTTCGTCTAGGACTGTTTAAAATTACACATTATTTCCATAGGTACTTGGAGACAGGACAATTATTTTTGCGTTTTTTTCTTTCTACTATGAACATACATATACTATAAATAAAGTATATTTGCTATTTACTATCAATTTCAAGTTTACTATCCACGGCGGTCACTGATATATTATATAGAGAGTCTCTATATAATATAACAGTGACCGCCGTAAACTTGGAATTGATAGTAAATAGAAAATACACGTTATTTATAGTATATGTTTGTTCATAGTATACAGAAAAACGCGAAAATAATTGAAATTAATAGAAAACAAATAACGGATTTTGGAAAAAAGATGGAGGGCTAAAAAAATTGTCCTGTCAAATAGCAAATACATAGAGAATATTATATGGGTTTTTCAATATCACATCCGTATCAACCCGAGACACCAATATAGTCCCAAGAGCTCTGCTCGAGGGATTATATTGGTTGAGGGTTGATACGGTGTGTGATATTGAAAAAGCCATGTCATATACACTTTATTATATATCTCAAGTAGATGTTTTTTTCATGTGACGTGACGTCAGGTGACTGATTTCGATGACGTGGCGTCATTCAGATTAAGGGTGTGATAAAGCCTGTGCAACCGTGACTGATATCGATATCATCACGGATGGCTGATACAGCACGATTGCCATTGATAGTATTACACATACTATTTACATGTATTTACTACTAAGTATATAATAAACTTTATTTATAGTATATGTATGTTCATAGTATACAGAAAACGCGAAAATAATTGAAATTAATAAAACACAAAAAATAACGGATTTTGGAAAAAAAGGGGGAGGGCAAAAAATAATTTCTCTGTCCCCAAGTACCTATGACTTTTGATACCTTTCCTGAAATTCTCCAGTAAAAAATCTTTTAGAAAAATTCATCCTACAACAGTTTACTGACTTTCAACCACGCTATAAATGCCCGCGATTTCGCGGGTGTGTTCTCGTGTCTTTTATTTGACGTATTCACTACATTACAGATTGAGACGTTACGCAAGCACAATATTTGAATAGCAATGCTATACTGGTAGCACCCTAAAATATAAAGATGGTCGCTATGAAGTGTACTATACTAACGTGACTGTTGTGGCTACTTTCCAAAAAAAAATAGTAAAAGATGTAAATCGTCGGGATATTCCTAAAGTGTTACACACTTATCCCACGTCATCTTTCATCTCGCTTGTTTTATGAGAGACGATTGAAGTTCTTCTGAATGTATAATGGATTTTGATTGGTTGATAGCCAGTGTATTTTTAATGTATTTTCTTATATCTAATAAATATTGTCCAAATTTCACCGCCGACGCAGTATATTCACAATGTTATGCATTTTTACCCTTCTGTTGTTTTATTTGCCAAAACGTATTTGTCTTTCTACCCTTAACACATCGACCCTTAATCATTTGTCATTTTATCAAATGCAACTGTTTTTGTCTACATCTTGATAGCAAAAGAACGATGGGATAAATTCTTTGGTTTTCGATATATTAAACAGATATGTAATGTTCAGAAAGGATATTTGCGAAAAATTATCGGTCTTGAAAGGGAATTTGCTCCGCCTAGCGGCTCAGAAAATTGTATCATCTCTCCGCTTATTCTTCTGAAGTCCAGCAATTCCTGCATACGGAGTAAACATTTCCCATTTCATTCAATATTCAAAATATATGGAATACTGATCTCTTTACATATATTTTCAATTTGTCGTAAGCACAATCCTTTCCTCCTGATTTCGTTTATGACATCATCTAATTCAACATATCACCAGAACCGGAGGCGATATATCACCAGAACCGAAAACGACATATTACCAGAACCGAAAGCGACATATCACCAGAACCGGAGGCGACATATCTTCGGATCCCCAACAAATTACAAAAACCGAATGCGACATATCACCAGAACCGAACACGACATTACAAGAATCGAATGCGTCATATTACCAAAACCGAACGCGACATATCACCAGAACCAAATACGACATATCACCAGAATCGAATGCGACATGTTACCAAAACCGACTGCGACATATCACTAGAACCGAATGCAAAATGTTATCAGAACCGAACACGACATATCAACAGTATCGAATGAAACATGTCAGCAGAACCGAATGCGATATATCAAATAATACAAATGCGAAGTATCAACAAATTTTTCTTGTCATAAGTAACACAATAAATACCACTGGTTTAAATAGAAACTGGCTTCACTTCAAACGAAGATGAACTCACACCTCTAGTTTATAAGGAATTCTTGTTGCCTTTGCTTCAGTTATCTTCTTTGCATTTGAAATATTTTACAATGTTTGTGTTCTTCCCTCTTGAACTAATCTTGCCTATCCCTTGTCATAAAAAAAATGTTTGTTTTTTTCAAAAGTTTCACATTTAGGTTCTGTTGAAGGAGTTAAGGGTTTAACCAAAATAAAAGTTACAATTTTAAGTCATTAGATGCGCTTCTTTTACTAATCCTCACCGGTAGCTCTCAGATACAGTTATAACATGAGGATACTATGGGCATACTTATAAGCATGACAAAATATGAAACTGAAACATGTTGTCATGCCGCACCCTTTTTTAGCTTACTTATACAGGATCAGTTTTGGTAATTGTTGAAGACGGATGGTAACTTATAGTTGTTTATATCTTCGTCCTTTGGTCTCTGGTAGCTCGTTGTCTCATTGGAAATCATACCACGTGTACTTTAGTCTCTGGTGGCTCGTTGTCTCATTGGAAATCATACCACGTGTCCTTTAGTCTCTGGTGGCTCGTTGTCTCATTGGAAATCATACCACGTGTCCTTTAGTCTCTGGTGGCTCGTTGTCTCATTGGAAATCATACCACGTGTACTTTAGTCTCTGGTAGCTCGTTGTCTCATTGGAAATCATACCACGTGTACTTTAGTCTCTGGTGGCTCGTTGTCTCATTGGAAATCATACCACGTGTACTTTAGTCTCTGGTGGCTCGTTGTCTCATTGGAAATCATACCACGTGTACTTTAGTCTCTGGTAGCTCGTTGTCTCATTGGAAATCATACCACGTGTACTTTAGTCTCTGGTGGCTCGTTGTCTCATTGGAAATCATACCACGTGTACTTTAGTCTCTGGTGGCTCGTTGTCTCATTGGAAATTATACCACGTGTACTTTAGTCTCTGGTAGCTCGTTGTCTCATTGGAAATCATACCACGTGTTCTTTAGTCTCTGGTGGCCCGTTGTCTCATTGTCAATCATACCACGTGTACTTTAGTCTCTGGTGGCTCGTTGTCTCATTGGAAATCATACCACGTGTACTTTAGTCTCTGGTGGCCCGTTGTCTCATTGTCAATCATACCACGTGTACTTTAGTCTCTGGTGGCTCGTTGTCTCATTGGAAATCATACCACATGTCTTTATTTCTATATTAAAGCTTGTTTTCTGAAATCTCTGTTATAATCTAGCGTAATTGTACGACGAGTAACATAATACAACATGTGTTGCCGTTTCGTACTTTCTTATTCAAGAATTGAATGCTTCTTTTTGTAAATTCATTGGGGTGTAAAAGCGTTGACCGAAGTACATTTTGTATGAAGCGCGGAAGCGCTTCATTCTAAAAATTGTCGCACGGTCAACGCTTTTACAACCCTATGAAATTACTAAAAGAAGCATTCAATACTTATAATTACATTTTTTCGCTATGATCATGCAAACACGTTTACTATATTTTTTTTCTTTTATTTACCTGTGCACTTTATTGTTGAAACGTGTGTCATCATGTATGTTACAATTCATGAAATTCATTTTTGAAATGAAGAATGACGCGAGATTGCTGTTAGCCAATCAAAATAACGTATAATAATGAAACATACATCTAATGTAATTATTAAGGTTAGGTTTGGACAATAGAAATACTCATCAGAATATTTTGCTACAGGATTTATTTTCCATAAACGATGATCTTCAAATACATATAAGTATATATTATTATATATCTTTTTCTAAATGGTTGCTTAAAAAATCTAATTTTATCAAAACTATGCATTTAAGAAATTCTTTCAGTCATATATCTATTTATGACATCTATATTTCATTATAATTGACATTTTTGCATGTAAGTGATCTATGCCAACAGCTGGCAGTGAATATTGGTTTGTTTTAAGTTGATATCAAAATAATTCTCTTCCGAAATTGTTTCCCCTTTCTCTTTTATATAAAACTGTACATAACAATTTTTGTTAAGAATTCATTTTTCTCAGTTTTTGTTTGTACTTCCTTCTAAGCTGATCCAAAAGAACAAGTTCATGTTTGGTAATAAATTCACATTCTCGATTTGATATTAAAAATTCAGAATTCCATCTAGTTTTATCAATTCGTATACCTGGCATTGTTTTCTCCTCATTTTTACAATATCTTCCAACTCGTGACAGTATTTGTTTATAAGTTTTAACTTCGTCATTAAAGTCGTTCCCTTCTTCACTTATCCTTCTCACAAAATTCGATTTGAAATATTCATACAAAATAAAATCAGGCCAGTTATATTTCTTCAAGTTGTCCAGATCTTTTCCTTCTATGACCACTCTTTCATCCCTATGTTTTGATAGGATGTTTAAGGGAACGTAGACAATATCTTTCATATCCCAACATAAGTATCGCTTGAGAAGAACCAAAGATTCATCAAACATTTCCATAACCATAATCAGTGAGAAGTCATTATTTAAAAACTCCAAATGAGACATAATTTTGTCTTTGGATGTCAGATCTTCGCGTGGTATTCCGAAATCTAAACACATTCGAGTTTTCACAAATTTTTGCTCTTCCGAGGTACAAATGTCAGGATTTTGAAGGAAAGTAGTCATGAGTTGTTGTCCGGTTATTTTTCCAAGTTTTTTACGAAGGTCAATAAATAGGTCGAAAAACTGTGCTGCAGAGATAATTTGTGTTACGGGATCTCGTACTATTGCTATAAAAACTGTATCACGTGGCATGTACTGACGAAAAACAGATCTGTTATAGATGACATGATGACACAATATATTGTATGTCTGGTGTTTTGGCGGTGGTAAAATGTTGTCTAAATTAATAGTTTTATCGAATCCTAAATAGTTATCTGGCACTGGTAACATAACATTAAGATTGTTTGATTCTGCAAATCTGAGAAAGATATTCATTACAGTCGTGCTTCCCGCTTTATGAACTTTTAGAAATGCCACATTTGTTGTTTTCTTCACGCACTGTCTATTAATAGTTACTTCTTCTGACGTCACTGTATCGCTATGTCTCAAATATCTGGTTTCTTCATTCATTGCCCCTAATGACCGATTACAAAATAGGAAACGCCAATTCCCGTCACAAAGCGCATTAATTTGTTGATCAGACAAGACGTGTTTATTCAAATGGTAAATAAACAATGATGTTGTTGACATTGTAAAAACAAGCGATAAAAACCTGAAGAAAAAAAACCCTATAAGACAAAGTATACGTGATTAGGTGGCACTTGCGGGTTTAAATCTCGTCAAATACATCTAAATATAGAAGAAATATATTTGTAGCATTTATACTCACAGAGTCCTTAATCATTTAAGAGTTTTAATTTTTCTGCGCTCTTGGTATCTTAATTATCCCTCTAATGAAAAAAAACCCCAGAAAAACCATGATTTTGCAGTGACATCACGACGCTAAGACTTTTTTTGGTCATTTTGACGCTTTTTTCACTTAACCGATTTCTGGTTAAAATACGAAACCGGTAACCCGTATCAATTTCGATATAAAATTCGATAAATCGCGCTTAAAGTGATTTGGGAGATGAAAATACATAAGAAATGAATACTATTTGCTACGTTACTGTGCTTATTACTAAAATGTTGAGATTCTGTTCGAATGCAATACGATAAAGATGTATGTCACTTTTTTAAAATTCAGACTAGCATTTTGAAATCAAATTTTTACGGAAAATTGTTACTCTAAAACTATTAAATAAACTTAATGTCTTGATCATACGTTCTTTTTACAAATTTTAACATGACATAAACTCACAAACATGTTTAACCCCGCCACATTCTTTATGTGCCTGTCCCAAGTCAGGAGCCTGTTACAGTGATTCAGTGGTTGTCGTTGGTTCATATGTGTCATATTCGTTTTTCGTAAATTGATTTGTTAAAAATTAGGCCGTTAGTTTTCTCAATTGAATTGTTTCATATTTTTCATGTCGGGGCCTTTTATAGCCGACTATACGGTATAGGTTTTTCGCATTGTTGAAGGTCGTACGGTTGTCTATAATTGCTTACATCCACTTCATTTGAACTTTGGTGGATAGTTGTCTCATTGGCAATCTTACCACATCTTCTTATTTTTATAACATCATAATTGTTACGGTGATTTTGTTCATAGAGACCGTAAATTTAGATACGATCCATGCAAACTCATTCATCCTTTGAATAAACTTATTTTTATTTAGAACCGTAAATAGTTCTATGAATATTATTTTGCCGCAACTTACATTGATTTTGTTTTTGATAAATTAAAACATTATGAAGTCTTTAGATTAAATCTGTATGATGTGTACTGATTGATACTTTAGTTTGAGAGAACATGATAGCATTTAGTAGTTTTAATTTGGCCTAGAACTAGCTTTCAATTTACTGCAAGTTCTCTTATATCAATACTTTATGTCTTTGTATTTATGTGAGTCGTTAAGTTTTGCTTGGTGCCAATCGGATGAGTCAAATCTTGACCAACAAATTTATGTTGTGCTGTTACAACCGGTGAATACATATCAGCTGATTTAGAATGAAGTCGTGGAACTCCTTATTACAGTTATAGGACGACATGATATTAGAACAGCAAGTAAATGTATTTTGGGTTTACTCTCAATAACTGAATATTTTTTGAAACATTATTTATTTACTGTTATGCTCATACTTGTGTTTTTGTCATCTTTATAGAGTAATTGTTTTTGTCTGTGATGAATTTGTTGTAAGTTTATGTACCGTTTGATATACCACATATCGATATTAAATTGAAGAAACTTTAGACCATAAAAAAATTGTTAAACTTCACCACATATTCGTGACTTGCACGAGGTCGGGAATACCATCAGTGGTATTCTATAATTATATCTTAATGTTTGTCATCTAGGTAAAATATTGTTGATTTTAGAAAAAAAAAAATTTGAAAATAATAAATACTTTACAACTCCATGCGTCCAGAGCGCTTATCTGGATTTACCTTCATCAGGAACGCTAAAAGCCGAATATTTGAAAGGATGTATAAGAACCGACACAGTTCAAGAGCTATATGACCAAAAAGGGCCTAAGAATAGATATTAGAAAGTCTCCGTTTAGGTTTCTGCGTAGTAATATGTACGTCTTTGTTGACTTTAGTCCTTTTCCTCTGTGACCATAGTCGTTTATGTCTGATTTGATTGTCAATATCTAATTTGTCTGAATAAAGTTGGATATCATATATTGATAGAAAAACAAAGGATATGGGGTATCCATCCATGACACAAAATCAGTACATGTACAGCAAAAAACACACAAAAAGCAAAGGAACAGCGCCTGTATTGCTGTTCTTTATCTAAAAGTCACAGTGAGGCCTTCAACTCGGAGCAAAAAACTCTCACTTCACTGCAAGTTTAAGACGACCCCTAGCACCGGTTTGAGCGGAATTCTTTGCAAAATAATTCGGATAGACTTTGTAAGATGTAACACCACCAAATCGGGCCCGGTCAAAAAGAACATGCTGGAAAGTAGTACATATTTGATACAAAATAGTTCCTATATGCATAAGTGTAAATATCAAATTACTAGTACGTAGAATATATTTTGGTAATTTAGGTATCAAATGAAAGGTGAAGTACTGGCGATCCCTGTAGAACACATGTTGACTGATAATTTTGAATAACATAAAAATGTATGAATGAATTCTAAAATTGAGGTCATATATTGTCTGTTTCTCAGATATGAAGTACCTGGTTTTGAGTATGTATATTTAAACAATGTTTAATCAGGCTTATCATGACATTTATGATGTTTTCTCCTATTTGTATGTTAATTTAACAGTTTTTGTATTACAAACTTACCATAGATAGTTTTGGAGTCGCATTCTGAAACAAAAATGGTAGATTAGTTATCGACTTGTGTTAAATATCATTCAAGACTATCATATGTTTTTTTTTATATCTATATGGTCACATCATGGAAGTAATATTTAAAATTTCAATATTACTTCCATGGTCACATGAAACATTTGAAACTGAAGGTTGATAAAAAAAAAATAATTAATCAACCATATACTTAGTCATGTATAATTTATCAACTATTTTAATTCATATTGACAATTCGTACAATTGTATAAAAGAAGTATTTACAACAAGTACTACTATGAATCATTAAAAAAGATATCTGACGCATTCAGATGTGAGAATAAAGTTTAAAACAAACCAGAAATCTTTATCAGTTTTTTTTTTTTTATCGCAGTTAATTATAAGTCATTGCACACAATTTGACGGCTAAAGTCTGACGTTTCTGAAAGATGAGTATATAGATATAAGAAGATGTGGTATGAGTGCCAATGAGGCAACTCTCCATCCAAGTCAAAATTTATAAAAGTAAACCATTATAGGTCACAGTACGGTCTTCATATGCGCTTTTCTCTAAAGAATTAAAATATATACCCAGTGGAAAAATTTTTCAATGTAAAGATGAACTGTACAAAAAATCTATGAAAGCATGTTTTAAATTACAACAATGTATGTCATCGTCAAACCCTAGTGTTTCAACTTTACTTCATTTATATGACCATGCTGTAAAACCAATTTTAACCTATGGATGTGAAGTCTGGGGTATGTTTTCTGTAAACTCAGCTGCATGTAAGAATCAAAGTACTGAAGTACTGAACATCGGATGACTGCAGGTTCCTGTGGATGGTCAAAAGCACATGTAACAGAAATAGATCACATCTCTATACCTGAAACTGAGGTTAATTTACAGAGATATATTTTTTCTGATACAAATTCGTGCATGGATGATGAATAAATGACAGGAAGTTCAACCGCACCGTAATAACTATTATATTGTAGTGATACAAATCAGTATACCTGGGACTATTATACTAATATGATAATAGTATCAGAGTATACACGTCTGGTTTGTTGTTATATATTATATTAATATTACGGTTGCAAGTATATATAATTTTCATCTATTTATATATCATTCAATTCTACTATTCTAATTATAGTGCAGTGCAAGTGCATGGTGGACACTCTTCTGTAAAAAAATCGATTTTTCTAAAAGATTGGATATGAGAAGCCATTCATATTTTCCCGCAAAACAATAACAGAGTTATCGGTCCTTGCCGGGAGTGTCGCAAAACGTTCTTGAGATATTTTTCCGTAAGCTTTAACACAATTTTTCGGTACGTGTGCATTTATATCATCAATGATTTTTTACTTTTATATATATATAACTAACGACAACACATTTTCATATTATTAATTTGTGTTTTAATAAAAATATTTATAGGAGTATCCATTGAAAAAATGAATTTGAAACAAGCGATTAGTAATGTTATTTCGCACTAGATAAGTGACCGCGGATCTATAATTTTTATAGATCGGTTGAAAACCCAAAACTAATTTGCATAATGGATATTTAGGCGATAGCAATACATCGATATGACCTCACGGTCATCGCGATGTAAAAATGATCAAAATATTTTAGAAAAGGTGTTTTCAAATGATACATCTGAAAAATCACATATCCAATTTATGAAATATGTTCTAGGTGTAAATAAGAAATCCAGTAATCTTGCTGTGACTTCTGAACTAGGGAGATGCCCAATGTATTTTTATAATATATTAGCAATGTTAAAATATTATCATCGACTAGATAATTCTAAGAACATGTTATTATTTGATGCATATTTATGTAGTAAAGAACTTCACAATAATAAATTGAATACATGGTTCTCATGTATAGACTGTATTTTACAAAAGCTTGGCATACAAACATGTAATTTAAAAACCAGTATCTACTCTTTCACAAAATTTATCAAAGATAAGCTATATAAAAACTATCTCCATCTCTGGAAGGAAAATAGAAATAAAGTTTTACAATCAGATCAAGGTAAACTTAATACCTATTTTTCCTTTAAAACTCTATTTTGT